AGGGTAACCCAATTGCTCTGAGTGGAACAATTCAGTTTTCCCCTCTTCTGTCTCATCAAAGCAGAAGCTCTCAACGATGATCAAACCGTCGTCTCCTCTTCTTCTGTTTCTTCCAAGTTCTTAGTGTTTAGAGATGGGTCTTTGTACTTTCCTAACCACGAGGCAATGTAGCTGTTCAGGAGAGATCAACAGTCACGGTGGCTAACAAGATGTTCTATATCTTTCTTTCAGAACAAGGGAGAAAGAATGGAGGCATAATTGTACACAAAAGAATCTAGAGACGGAAAAACAAAAATCAGCAGCTGCGGCATTTGAACAAGTCTAGGCAAGTGTAGGGTCTTGATATTAGCTGCTCCACTTCATACGCTGTGGGCAGTGGCTCTAGATTATACTTCCCGCAACATGCATTGTATATGTTCCTGCACATCCCTCTGCTAAAAGGATGCACTCGTTCCGGAATATTCCTCAAATATGGAATACGCCTTCTCCTCACAAACTCATATGTCGTTTGATTTGTCATTATCAAGTAGCTGCACAAATCATATTTGAAGTCACAAGTGAGCAATTAGGCAAGCCATAGGTTTCAAACATGGTGCAAATTATCAAGAATTGCAATTCTAACCCACCTGTGAAATATCAGTAGAAGCAGCACAAAAATCAACAAGATCACCAAGATAACCAGCAGCAGTATGATGACTGCATTCTTCCACCTGTTCATATTCCCATTCACGTTCATGCATGTTGAACCTATAAAAAGGCTTAACCACGAGCAGTAGAGAAATATAATATATACCAATACTTTGATAAGTTATCCAGGTAGCCGAAGTACAAGATGAGCGTCCAGATGCATAGGGCTGTCTCTCCACATACGTACCACCTGATCTCATCCAAACATAGTTACGGGTTATACCAACAAGAAACTCTTAAAGGTCATCTCACAAATATCATTAAAAATATACCCCCCCCCCCTTGCTTACCAGAATTTACAATGGTTATTCTGGCCTATACATGTTCCAATCCAAAGACAGTGATGATCAAACTGAAGAACACAGCGATTACAATCATGACAATGTTTTGATCGTGGAGGCTGCAAAGCATCACATGTTTCAAAAGATAAACAAATAGGTAAAACTACTAACAAGAGGTCCGACTATGGCCAACATAAAAAATCCAAATGCATGTCCAAAAAGCTTTGTACCTGCTCCACATGGCAATAGTTGCATGTCAAATTCTGCAAAATACAGAGAAAAGAAAAATCAGTACTCATTTACTAACAAATTAAGGAATAGAGCACCATGATGGATAATGTAAGCTTTAAGTTTCGGTTCGAGAGACAGTCTTGAAAAAAGTCCAAAACATGCTCCTAGATCACAAACAAGATTGAAGCAGTAGCAAGTGTAGAAGAAAGTTGAGAGATATACCTAACAGATGTTCCTGGAGGGTACAAGTCCAAAACCACCTTAGCCCAAGAAGTTGGAAGATTTGGCCCCCAAGTAGAATGACCTCCTTCCACAGAAATAATTACGCTTGAAGAAGGTTGTCTTCTCTTAAACGGCATAATAAAAGTATAAGAAAAGAGTGAGACTCCATTACGATTCCATCAAACTCCACAAACCAAATAACCATTCTTACAATGGTGTTTTGCTAGACTCATAAGCTGGCTAGCAGAAAGATAATGGAAAAACACGAGCAAGCAAGAAAGATGGTAGCTAGCTAACCCAGGAGAAGAGCCGGAAGTAACAAAATACTGCACAAGCGTTGCAAAAGTTAACAAGCAGTAAGAGCACAAGTACCTGATAAAGATGAATGAGCGAGATTAGACAGGCAATTTCCACATAAGTCGAAAAATGACTAGATAAGCGATTGAAGGCATTAGTATTACCAAGGATCAGTTTTTCCGAGGAGCAAAATACCAGGGAAGAGGAAGTGCAGGGCCACGAGTGTCAATTTCGGAAGCAGAGAAGATCTCGGAGCTGGGGAAGGGTAGAAGAGCAGAATCAAGCAGCGAATCAGAAAGGAATCGGAACAAGGCCATTCATTAGGGGTTATTCGTACCGGAATCGGAAGGAGAAGGAAGGAATGGATTCCCTGGTCGATCGGAGGGGCGACGCAGACCCATGGTCGCAGGCCAAGGCAGTACAAGAGGAGGAGGAGATCTTCAGTGTTACCAAGGATATTCAGAGTCACTGC